GAAATCAGCAGCTCTGGCATTCATTTCTATTAGTCAATCAATAACCACTTAATATTTAGCTGCAATTTTTTGGTCTTCTCATTCCATTAATAGCAAGAATATTTATGTATGTCATTCAGTTCTCCAGTATTATAGCATTTCACAATACCAGGTCATGGACTTGAACTTGGAAAGGACCCCAGAGACCATTTTGTCCAAACTTTTCAGTTTATAAATGAGGAAACTGAGGCCCAGAGAGGTAAATTTGATTGTCCAAGGTTTCACAGGTAGTAAATGGTGGACCCAGGATTAAATACCAGGTCCCTTAGCCCCAAACTCAGCATTCTTTCCCTCGCATGCATGTTGCCTTCTCCTAATTGTGGAAATTCTAGCCTGTAACTTCCACCAATTGCCAATAATTGTGTGTTTTGGGGTCAAGCTGAAAACCAAACCAAATCAAACCAGTGAACCAAATGAAAAAAGCAACCTTCCTTTGAAATTAAACATTCTTCCACTAGGTGGCACTAAAGCTCAAGGCAATATAACCTTGTGTTCATACGCCAATGGCACCCAAGCATAGAGAGGAAGGCTGAATTCTTGACCTCATAGGGTTGAGAGCCGGGACAGAACTGGCGTCATCATAGACCCTGTGAGGTTAAGGAGTTATGGAATCCCAGGAGGTTGATGAAGTGGGAAGAACTTTGAACTGGTAGTCCAGAGGCTTCATTCAAACGTATGACATTGGAAGATGAGAGGTCTATGATCTATGATTTTGGACACGTCTCTTCTCCAAGTTGACACTGTGAAGTGAGGGGGCTGAAACAGGATGATCTTGAAGTCCCAGTTGTATGACTGTGACTTGAAGGGTCTTCCACTTGGGCATGCTTGACAGATGGATAGCTCAATCAGCACTGTTTCTGAGGCTTCAAACATTTGGGCCGAGCTCTCTCCAAGGCATTGTAGGGGGATAGAGAATAAGGATAAGCCTGGTCCTTACTTTGGGGGATTATACAGGCTAAAGTGAGGAGATAGGAGATGTATCTCACGTTTATTTTCTTGTTTTTCTCCAATAAAATGTAAGCTTCTTCAGGGCAGTTGTGTTTTGTGTCCCAAGCACCTAGCCCAGTGCCTGGTATGATCCTTGTTGATTTGAAGAGGAATGACCTTCAAAATGGATTTAAACTCACTGATGCTCAGCTACTTCCCACATAAGGTGAGAAATCTCCAGATTTTGAGCTGGAATGGATCTTGACAATCCAATTCCCTCATTTCGTAGATGAGTCCCATAGCTTTTAAATGGTAGAGCAACAATAGGTTAAGTGGCTTGGCCAAAGTCACACATATAGAAAGCAGCAGAGATTTGAATGCAGGTCTTCTAACTTCATGTTCAGTACTCAGACTTCCCTTGTATCCTGTCCACCTCACAGAATTATTTTGAGGACATGCTAAAGCTCCAGGAGCAATAGAAATACAGGTTAGAGTTACTGAATTACTTGAAAGATGCCCTCTCTGTTTATAATTCCCTCTCTGCTCTCATCAGAAGTTTGACTCTTTTGGTCTAGTTATAGCACTTCTCAGCCTAACCCATCAGATGTTTTGGTATAGAACTTTGACGGGTTTCTTCAACTGTAAAATACTATGGTTTTGAATTTTGTGGGTTTCTTGGTGTAGTACATCTTTCCACCAACGCCGGTTTGAATCCATGCACAACTTAGTAGATGGTCTTCATGAGTCAATGGAGCCAAAAACCACATCAGGCGATGGCTTCTTTTTTCTCAGGACCATTGACTTTAGAGCCAGAAGGGATCATGGAAGTCATTGAGTCCAACCTCCCCATTTTACAGATGTGGGAGCTGAAGCCAAAGTGACTCATCTGGGGTCATGTGGCTAGTAAGTGTCAAAGTATATAGTTTTCTTGGCAAAAATACTAGCACGTCTCAAGGCTTGCTAAGTCCTGGCTCAGCCTTTTTCTCTCTGCCCTCACCTTACCCTTTAGATCTTTCTTCATAAGGATAATATTAAATAGAGCTACTACTCTTCCTAGGGATTATTGCTTTGGTTTCTGAGATTGAGGTGGGATAATATAAAGGTTGAAAGCCAGGAGATCTCCATTCAAGTTTTGGATTTGCCACTAATTACAGGAAGCTAGGCGCTTTTAAAAACTTGTTTCTTTTCTTTTATTTTTTTCAATTAGTAGGTAGAGTGCTGGACTTGGAGTCAGGAAGACCTGAATTCAAATCCAGCCTCGGACACTTCCTAGTTGTGTGACCTGGGAAAGTCACTTGACGGCTGTTTGCCTTAATCCATTGGAGAAGGAAATGGCCAACCACTCTGGTATCTTTTCTTTTCTTTTCTTTTTTTCTTTTTTTTTCTTTTCTTTTTATTTATTTTTGGGGGGCATCTCCTGGACAGTTACCGTACATGGACTTTGTCCATGAAGTCATGTAGAGTCAGACATGACTGAATGACTAAACAATAACTTGGGATACTTTACAATGAAAGATCATTGGTCCAGAACTGGGAGTTGGAGGCAAACAAGTGAATAGGCACTCCAAGAGACTGAGTGAGTGCAAGGGGCAGCTATGGTCTACAGAGTCATGAAGAGTTCGATATCCCTGAATGACTTTCAACAGATGCATGACTTCAAATATAGTTTATTTTCAGTTTTAGTATTATAGTTCCCCATTGTAGAATGAAGGGCTTTTTAACTTCTATTGTGTCCTGGACCCCTTTAGCTGTCTGGTGAAGCCTGTGGACTTCTTTGCAGAATAATATTTTTAAATACATAAAAATACATAGGATTATAATAATATTTTACAGAATAATATTTTAAATGCATAAAAATACATACGATTACAAAGGACATTAATTATATTGAAATACAATTATATGCACACACACATACACACATATGATCATGGACTCCCCGGTTAAGAATTCTTGGTTTATTGATGATCTTCTGGGGTCCTTATTTCCTTTTAGTTATTTGTTTATTTTTCTTGTAGGTTTAGAAAGAGGGAAGGGATGTCATGCATAACCTTGTGGTTCACTCCATCCTTAAGGTAACTTTGGTAAGCTTCAATTTAGTTAAACAAACATTCATTTTGTGTCTGCTAAATAGAAGATCCTGTACCTGGTACTGGTTAAGGACAAAAATTAAACTCTCTTTGCTCCAAGGAAATGATATACTATGCTGCAGGATAAACTACATACACAGATAAGTCATGTAACTACACAGTGTGATGTGAAGGGAGAAAGACAATGATACCATTCTTGGGATGAAGCACAGGTTCATGGTGGAGATGGCAGCTGGGCTGTGACCTGAAGAGAGATGAAGGTTCTGAAGAGCACAGATGAGGAAAGATGGAGGGCCAGGCAGAATGGACTGCCTTTGCAAATGCATGGGGATAGTGGATGGAACGTTAAATTCTGGTAATAGCCCTAGATGGTTGACTCACAGTGGGGTAATGTGAGATATGGCTGGAAAGGTAAGCAGGGATCAGATTGTGGAGGGAGGGCCTTAAATGCCAGACTGGGGAGTCTGTACTTTGTTCTGGAGACAATGGGTAGCTATTGAAGGCTCTTGAGCAGGGGAATCATGTGATCAGAGCTGTGCCTTAGGAAGATTCTTTTGGCAGCTAGATGGACCATGCCTTGTATAAGGCAGGAAGTGAAAAGGGAAGCAATGAAGAGGAGATGACAGTAATTCATATGAAAATCATGATAATGGATGGAAAGGCCATCAGAGATCACTGAGTCCCACCCCTTTATTTTACAGACGAAGAAAGTGAATCAGAGAGAGGTGAAGAGACTCACCTAAAGTCCCACAGGCAATAAGCATCATTGGTGGGATCTGAACCCATGTCCTCTGGCTCTGGAGCCAGTCAGTGTTCTTTTCACCCTGCCTTGGGGTCTTCCTGTTTTATTAAAAACAGATGTTACAGAAGTTTTTTAGGTTTGCAAAGCACTTTCAAAACATTGTGTCATTTGAGTCTTAAAAACTCAGTGAAGTAGGTATTGTAGTATTATCCCCATTTTACAGATGAGGAAACTGAAGCAAATAGAGGTTAAGTGACTTACCTGGTTTCACACAGCTAGTAAGTGTCTGAGGCTGGTTTTGAACCTAGATCTTCCTGATTCCAGGCCCAGGGCTCTATCCACTGCACCACCCAGCTGCCCTAGAAAAAAAGTGCTACCTCATTTTATGAAACTTACCGTGATCTTCACTATTATCAATATCCTATCTTTCCACATATTTTTCTAGATCACTTTTTTGGAGCCGTCCTTTGACTCTTTCACTCCCTACCCTCATAAGAACACAACTGAGGGCAAAGACTTGTATTTATGTCTCCAGAGCTTAGCACTGGCCAGCAAATAGTAAATGCTTAATAAATATCTGCTCCATCCATCCATCCATCTATCCATCCATCCATCCATCCATTCATCCATCCATCTGTTTGTCTACCTACCTACTAACCTATCTGTTGATCTATTCCATTTCTCTCTATCTCTCTGTCTTCCTTTCTCTCTGTCACCTTCTCTATCTGTCTGTCTGTCTTTATCTCTGTGTCTGTCTCTGTCTCTCTCTTCCTCTCTCATATTCCACTTCTCTGTATATTCTCCTACTAGTATAAAAGCTCATTGAGGGCTGGTGCTATGTCACTTTTTTATATTATCACAGTGTGTTACACATGGTAGGCACTTAATATATGTTTCTTTAATCAAATTTCCTTGTTCTCTGGGTTTAGCCCCTTTTTTGAGTGATTGGCTGATTGAGATCCAGTCCTCCTGGATGACTAATAGCTTGAAACTTCCTTATCTGGAAGGAATCCAGAGGAGTGGGGAGAGAGAGAGAGAGAGAGAGAGAGAGAGAGAGAGAGAGAGAGAGAGAGAGAGAGAGAGATTGAAATCAGTGGCTGTGACAAGCTACATAGCCTTGAGCTTGTGTTATTATAAACAGCGAGTTGGGTGACCCAGGAATAGTCCTGTTCCTGGCAGCAGCAGCAGCAGCAACCCCTGGGATGATGTTAGCAAGGGGAGTCTCATGTCAGTCAGCTCTGGCCAAGAGCCGTCATTGCCTCCTTGGCTCATCAAGAGAAGATGTTCGGACATTTGATGTCCGGAGAGTGCAGTTGCCTGTCAGAGGTGGTGAGCTGAGTGCCTTACCTCTTCGGGTGCAGGGGCCCCGGCCCTACAATGAGATACCCTTAAAGGGAAACAATGGTTGGATGAATTTGCTCCACTTCTGGATGGAGAATGGGATGCGCAACATGCATGTCCGAACCGTACAGAGATTCCAAGAATTAGGCCCGATTTACCGGTAAGTTAGATCCCTCCAGAAAGGTAGAGGCAAGATCATGTTCACAGGGACAGCAACCTAGGGTGCCTAGGGATAATTTTCTTGTGACTTTTTATAAACAAGTTACTTTTCATCATTATATCACATTGGAGTTTGTTTTGTGATTAAGTCAAATTGCATATGTTAGTGTTGTTAAGAGGGGCTGATTAGGGGAGTTCTTTAATTTCCCTGATGACTTTAGAGTGGGGTACTTAATCTTCTTAGACCCTTGGGACAATCAGGTGAAGCCTATGGACCCTATCTTAGAACAAGAATGTTTTAAAATAATTGAAGGAAATGTCAAATTTCAGTCAGAGATTAGTGAAAATAAAGGGGACTTTTTTGTGGTATATGATTTTACTAGAAAATTACTATGCTATAAGAAATAACAAGTAGTATGATTTCAGAAAACCTGGAAAGATGTACATGAACTGATAAAAAGTGAAGTGAGTAGAACCAGGAGAACATTGTACACAGTAACAGCCATACTGTATGATGAAGAATTATACATGATTTGGCAATTCTTAGTAATGCAATAATTCAAGACAAGCACAAAGGATTCATGATGAAAGATGAAACATGCTATCTCCTTATGGAGAAAGAACTGACATTATATGAATATAAACTGAAGTATGCTAATTTTTTCTTTCTTCTTCTTTTTTTTTACCTTCCTCCCCCCTTCCTTCCTTCTTTACTTCCTTCTTCTTCTTCTTCTTCTTTTTTTTTTTTGGTTAAAGTCTTCATGTACAAAATACTAATATGGAAACATTTTATATTATTGCACATATATGACCTATATCAGATAGCTTACCATTTCATGGAGGGGGGAAAAGAAAGAAGGAGGTATGTAATTTAATACTCAAAACTTTACAAAAATAAACAATGAATGTTTAAAAAAAAGAGGTTACATATATCATCTACCCATATAGAAAGATAAACAATTTAACATTATTATATCCCTTATTATTTCTCTTTCATGTTTACCTTTTATAAAAAATTAATTTATTTTTTTATTAATTTATTTATTTTTAGTTTTCAACATTCACTTCCACAAGATTTTGATTTCCAAATTTTCTCCCCATCTCATCTCTCCCCCACCCCAAGATGGCATGCATTCTGAATACCCCTTTCCCTAATCTGCCCTCCCTTTTATCTCTCCTCCCCTTCTCTTATCCCCTTCCCCTTCTATTTTCCTATAGGACAGGGAGATAGCTTGTTAGCTTGTCGTTGTTGCTGTTGTCCAGTTGTGTGCAACTCTTCAAGACCCATTTGGGGCTTTCTTGCCAGAGACACTAGAGGGGTTTGCCATTTCCTTCTCCAGCTCGTTTTACAGATGAGGAAACTGAGGCAAACAGGGTTAAATGACTTGCTCAGGGTCACACATCTAGTAAGTGTCTGAGACTAGATTTGAACTCACAAAGATGAGTCTTCCTGATTCCAAGCCCAGTGCTTTGTGCACAATGGTACCACCTAGCTGACCCCCCAAATGTCTAAACTGGTGATCAGATATATAGGCAGCTCATGGGGAAAATGAAGCTTGAGCTTGGGGAGTGGGGAGATGGAAGGGGAGAGGAGAACATGCTTTCCTTTTGACTGACCTTGTATCTGCTTTGCAGAATGTTTTGATCTTACAGAGATGGCGGAGAGAAAGGGAGAGAGAGAGAGAGAGGGAGAGGGAGAGAGAGGGAAAGAAGAGAAGACAGAGAGAGAAACAGAGAGAGAGAGAGAGATGAGAGACAAAGAAGAGAGGACAGAGAGAGGGAAAAAGACAGAGAGAGAAAGGGGGATGGGGCAAGGAGAAGGAGGGAGAGAATTAGAGAAGATGGAGACAGGGAGAACATTCTAGGCAATGATAACTTAGGGCTGGGAAGAAGTCTTACTCTTTTTCTCTTTCCTTTCCTTTTCTTTTCTTCCTTTTCAACACCCTTGCCCTTTCCTCCTCCAATGCCTGTCTGCCTCTGACTTCCACTCCCTCTTCCTCCTCCCCTCCCTCCTGTTTTGACACTGATAACAAAAGCCTTTGAAGATTTTAAACCACCAAATAAATGAGCTATATTATTAATATTCAGAAATGAAGGAGTCATTCCAGGGGTCAGAAGTGTGGGTTTTTCATCTTGGCCTTGAAGGTCACTTTGTTGGGGATCAAAAAGTTAAGAGCAAAAAATGCTCAGGTTGTGGACGAAACAGGATTATTGGGGAACTACAGGGTTTGTTGTAAATAAGGGAGAAAACTGTATCAGCCTGAGAGTCCTACTGAAGGCCTCCCTCCTCCTTAAAGCCTAGGGGACAGGGCATCACGCTTCCTGAAAATCCTGGATTGAAAGACAGGAGGTCCCTGAGGGGGTGGAGTGGCGGGGTAGCAGAAAATATTGACTAATTCTCTTCACACAATCTATGGTTCAAACTGGCTTTTGTGATGTTCCTCATATAAGTAATTTCATTTCTCTCTTTGTGCCTCTGCACTGGTTGTACCTCACATCTGGAGCACTTTCCCTCCTTACCTCCACCTTTTAGAATCCCGAGTTCCCCTCGATCCTCTGCTCAAGTATCCCCTTGGACATAAGGTTTTTCCTGATCCCTTGAGCTGCTAGTATTTCCCTACCTCTCATCACCTTGTGTGTGGCTATATTATATATTATTATGTATATAATTTTATAGATGATATATTGTACATATCCCTCCATATATTATATATATGCTTCCATATGTTATATATGACATATTATGCATATACTTACATATATGATATTATGCATATACTTACATGTATGATATATAATGTATTCTATATTATGTATATTTCTACATATCATCTAGATGTTCTATATTATGTATATATTACACACCATATATATTTCTATACATGATATACAATATATATTATGCATATACTTCTATATATTCTATATTATGTATGTACTTCCATATATCATATATTCCAAACTATTTACTTCTATGTATTCTATATTATGCATATATGTCTACATATTATATATAAAGTATATATCATATTATGTATATACTTCTATATATTATGAATATATACATTATATATAAGATATTATAGAAATTATATATGTATACATTTTATATTTATATATACTATATATTTATATATGTATTATGTATGTATACATAATATATAATATATTATATTATATGTATTCTATATATGATATATAACATATTATGCATATACTTCTATACATTCTATATTATGCACATATGTCTATATATTAGATATAAAGTATATATTATATTAAGTATATACTTCTATATATTATGTATGCATTATATATCATATATAATACATATAATAGATATGCATATATATCTATATATTCTATATTATGTATATACATCTATATATTACATGTAAAGTAAATATTCCACATTATGTATATACTTCTATATATTCTATATGTTATATATAATTTACATACTTCTATATATGATATGTTATGTATATACTTCCATAGGCGGCTAGGTGGCATAGTGGATAGAGTGTCAGGGCTGGAGTCAGTTTCTTGTGAATAGCCTTGTGACATGGAAATTTAACATTGTAGGCATTCAGTGACTGCAAGCACCATATCCAGGTAACATTATTTCCATTGTGAGGTAGTTAAATCGTACCTATCTCTTGAAAGCCCCTACAGATGCTCTCTAAAAGTGGGAATTTCAGGTCCTGAGACTGTTACTTTCTTCACCCTTCTCTTAAAATTGGACTTCAGTTTCAGTCACTGAGTAAGCAGGGGAGGGTGAGGTTATTTGCGTTGGCGGTCTGTCTAGCATGACTGTAGTTGTGGAGTAAGTGTGAGGCTTGGGGCTGAGCCAGGCCAGAGGGCATTGTTCAATGCCTCTGCTCTAGGTGTGAGAGATCAGTTGCGTAAATTGATGTAGTTGCTGGGAATTGGGAAACTTAGTCCTAGAGACAGATTCGATGCCTAGATCCAAGCATCTAACTCTACCTACCCCAGGCTTTAGGAGCAGATCTCTAGGGTTTGGCCTCTGACCTCTTGATTTCATTCATCTTTCCAGGGAGAAACTTGGCAATGTGGAATCTGTCTTTATTATCAATCCTGATGATGCTGCTCGCCTCTTTGGGGCAGAGGGACCCTACCCAGAAAGATTTAGCATCCCACCATGGGTGGCTTATCACACCATCATGAAAAAACCTATTGGAGTCCTGTTCAAGTAAGTCTCTCCCCTTTCTCTTGGAAATGTATTCTTCCTCTCCTCATATCACAAGGGATAGAATCAAAGGATGTCTGAAGAGCTGTGGGGAGAGGCCCCTTGTAGAATCAAGAGAAGCTGAGTAATAAGAAGACCTAGGCTCTGGTCTTAGCTCTTCTCCACATGAACTGTGTGATCTGGGGCATCCCTTCCCTTGACTCTGTCTTGGTGTTGTGAATCTATCTAATGGGAAGAACAGTCCCTGCTCTATGATGCCTCAAAATGTTGTGAGGATCAGAAAAACTCAAAAATGAAGTGTTATAGCAAGGTTAATGAGTAAGGCATTTGGCCATGAGGATGGTGTGCATGAAATCTAGGTGATGTAAAAAAAATGAATAACATCTAATTTTTAAAAATCCTTTTCTTGTTAAGGTTCAAGTTAGTCAGTCAAAAGGTCACCTGCTACGTGCCAAGCATTGTGCTTAATGCTAGGGATACAAGAAAGGCAACTCCCCAAACACCGCCCCCCCTGAAAAAAAAAATCCAGACCCTTCCCTTAAGGAGCTCACAGTCAAATGGAGGAGATGACATGATATACAAACAACATACAGACAGGACAAATTGGAGGCAACTTCAGAGGGAAGGAAGGCACCAAGATTAAGAACGCTTGGGAGAGGTTCCTCACAGGAGGTGGGGCTTTTGCTGAGACTTGAAAGCCAGAGAAGCCAGGAGGCAGCCAATGAAAATTTCTGGCATTGGGAGATGGAGTTACTTGCTTGAGGTACATCAAAGAAGCCAGCGTCACTGGATTACAGAGTATGACCAGGGGAATAAGGAATAACAACACTAGAAAGCCAGGAAGAGGTCAGGTTATGAAGGGCTTTAAAAGTCAAACAGATGATTTCACATTGGATCCTGCGGGTAATAGAGAGCCACTGGAGATTATTGAATAGGGAGGCTTTATGGTCAGACCAAAGATCAATTGGACAGCTGAGTGGGGGATGGATGGATGGATGGATGGATGGATGGATGGATGGAGTGGGGAGAGGGTTGTAGCAGGCACACCAGTCTGCAGCAGGGTGGTGGCAGTGTCAGAGAAAAGAGGACACACATGAAAGATGTCACAATGCTAGATATGGGGAGTGAGAAAGAGGACTCAGGAATGCCACCTAGGTTGTGAATCTGGGGACTGGAGGATGGTGGTGCCCTTGAAAGTTAAGGGAACTTGGGAGGAAGGAAAGGTTTTGGGGGGGAGATAATGAGTTGAATTTTGAACATGTTGAGTCATCTAAGGTGCCACCTCCTTCAATGATCCCCTACCCAAAAGTGATCTCTTACTCCTCAAAACCCCTACAGCCCTTTGGCCAGGCAACTTCTTTGCTCATGTCAAATTATTCTTTGTATCATATTTATTTTTGTTCATGTCAACTCCTCTATTACACTCTGGAGATCCTGCTCCAGATTTCTACTTGGGATAAATCAGGTCTCCCAGAGCAAGGACATTGCTCCTGAAGGGTTCTAGAGGTACCCCAAAGATTCTTCTCTAATCCTATTAGCCTAAGTGTCCATTCCAGCAAGGACTGTCTTTTGCCTCTTTTTATATCCCTGGTGCTAAGCACAATATCTGACATACAATAGGTCCTTAATAAACGTTTACTGATTGACATATCAATCACGAGTTATTAGCATCCCAATATCATTTGAGCAATTATTATCAATTAGCTTCTTACAAAGCAATAGTTTCTGAGAAGAGTTACAAAACATTTTTCTCAAAACTCTTATACCATTTTGATCCTTGGGGAGGGTGGGCTTAACTTTAAAGCAGTTACTACATTGGTTTCTCCCCAAGTTCCCTTTGAAATGTGGTTCCCTCTCAGATACTCTCCATCTACTTCTTTGCTGGGTTGAGTAGGTCACTTGGGACTTGGTTGCTTCTTACAAAATCTGGTATGGCTTGGACTCTAGCTACTGGACCTCTGGCAGCTTGCCCTCCCAACTTAGTGAAGGTCAAAGCCAAAACTCCTCCTCCTCTGCTCAAGAGCAGGAAAAGATGAAGGCAAAGGGAGCAAAGAATAGTGGCCTAAGGGAGGAGGGCCTAAGGTTTTTCTCCCCATTCAGAGGCTTATAGCATCTCCTCCTCCTATTGAAGCCAGGGAGGAGACAGGACCATCATCATCTAGTCAGGGCCTTTTGCATACATTTGCATTTCTGGATCAATAGCCAATCAGAGGGCTCCTCTTCTTCACGTAGCTTGGAAGCCACACCTGCACGTCTCCCAGAGTCCATGTGGCTACATCATAAAAACTCAGTTGCAGCATCTTGTTCTCAGTAGGATTTTCATGGGTGTTGAATTGTGGTTCTATTACCTTTAAGTTGTAGAGGCTTAGCCTCAGTGAAGTTAGATGAGGGTTTGTTGTTTCCCTCTCTCCTTTTACCTCCTCTTCTCCTCTCCCTGTTTTCTTCTCTTTCATCTTTCAGTCACAAGGTGTGGGTGAGTGAGGAAGGGGACAGGAGGGCTGAAAAGAGGGAGAGATACGGACGATGGTGATAAGGGTTAGCCTGCAAGGGAATCCGGTGGGAAGCCCTTCTCCAAGGGCCCTTGCACAGAAAAGGGGAGCCGGGACCTCTCTGAGCCTCTGGATTCTCTGACTTGGGATGGACCGAGTTGTAACACCATGGTTCGCTTCATTGCCTCCAGCCTCTTCTCCCAAGAACACTGGATTTCCTCATCTTTTTTTTTCCTTCTCAGGTCCTCTGAAAGCTGGAAGAAGGACCGGGTTTTCCTGAACCAGTTTGTGTTGGCTGTGGACTCAATGAACAATTTTGAGCGCCTTCTCACTCCAGTTTCAGAGGACTTTGTAAAGAAGATTTACAAGGGGATTGAGAGGAGCAAACAAGGAAAGTTCACGGTGGACCTCAGTCAGGACCTGTTTCGATTTGCTTTTGAGTGTAAGTAATGTCTGACTGAGGGAGGGTCTTAGCAATGAAGGAATTAATCAATCCACATTTTTTAGGCACCTACTATGTGCCAGGCACTGTGCCAAGCACTGAGGATACCAAACCAGGCAAAAAGATAATCTTTACCCTCAAGGAGGTTATATTTTAATGGGGGAAACAACATGCAAATAAATGGGTATGCAAACAAGTTACACACAGGATAAATAGCTCATAAATTAACCAAGGGAAGCCACTTAGAATTAAGGGAAAGTTTCCTGTAGAAGATGGGATTTTTGTCAGGATTTAAAGGAAGCCAGGAGGCAGAGATGGGGAGAAAGAGTGTTCCAGGCACGGGGGACAGCCAGAGAGAATGCCCAGAGGCTGGAAATGGAATGTCTTGCTCAAGGAACAGCCAGGAGACCAGTGTCACTGGATTAAAGAGTATGGGTTGGGGAGTAAGGTGTAAGATGACTGGAAAGGTAGGAGGGGGCTAGGTTATGAAGAGCTTTGAATGTCACACAGAACATTTTTGTATTTGCTCTTAGAGGCAATAGGGAGCCCCTAGAGTTTATGGAGGGTGGGGTTGACATAGTCAGGCTGAATGGAGTGGAGAGAAACTCGAGTAAGACAGACCCTCCTCACCCCTCCTCCAATAGGTTATTGCAATAATCCAGGCATGAGGTGATGCAGGGCTGCTGCACCAGGGTGGTGGCAGTGTCTGAGGAGAGAAAGGGGTGTTTTTGAGAGATGTAGTAACTGTGAGGTCAATAGGCCTTGACAACAGATTGGATATGTCGGATGAGAGAGGGGGAAGAATTCAGAATGACTCCTAAATTGCAAGCCTGAGGAACCGGAAGAATGGTATTGCCCTCTACAAGAAGACCGGAGTTCAAATTTGCCCTCAGTCACTTACTAGCTGTGTGACCCTGGACAAGGCACTTAACCTCTTTCTGCCTTGGTTTCCCCATTTGTAAAATGGGGATAAGAACAGCACCCCTATGCTAAAGTTGTTGTGAGGTTCCAATGATCTTGGGTATAGAGGGTAAGGATGAGTGCACAGTGGTGGTAGTGTTTAGAATAGAAATAGCAGAGACATAGGATTTATATATTCAAGTACTGTGAGATTTAAATTTTGTTAAACTTTAATGCACTATATAAATGCCAGCTATTTAAAAATGGGATTTTGCAATGGAGTCCATGGACTTCACCAGATGGCCAAATATAAAATATAGAAAATATAAATAAAAAATATAAGATATAAAAAAGATGAAGAACCCTTGATTTAGAACATAAGAAAATTATTCACTATTACATGGGCAATGCTAGGGCACAAACTCTAATGAGATCAGCAGATTTCATGTATGTAGCATAATCACCAAGGCCACCCCTCTCTTAGCACAAATGTGTTCACTTGCCTCCTTAAATCCCAAGCCTGATTCCTGGACAGAGGAAGCAGGCAACCCAGTGAGGGTCTGGAGTTAGCTCTGAGCTCAGATACTTACTAGCTGTGTAACCTGGGCAAGTCATTTAACCTCTGTTTGCCTCAGTTTTCTTAACTGTAAAATGGGGATAATAATAGCACCTACCTCCCAGGTTGATTGTGAGGATTAAATGAGATAATATTTGTAAAGCACTTAGCACAGTGCCTGTCATGCAGTAGGTGCTTAATAATTAATTGTTTTCCATCTTTCCATCAGTGTCATCTCGAGGTCATAGTTTAGTGACTTTTCTTGCATAATTCCAAATTGTTGCCCCGAATCTTTGAGCCAGTTTGCCAATCCACCAACAGTGTATTAGTGTTCCTTAATCCTCTCATTTTTGCCCACGAGGGACCCCAGGCCCAGAGAGAAGATTATGATTTAGTGAGGTAGTAAGCAGTACAGGAAGAAGTAAAGCCCAGGATCTCTTGTCTTTGAGTCCAGCCTACCATTAATCATATGATTTTGTGTGTACCCAGAAAGAGACCAATGAGATGTCCCTGCCTGATTGTGTTTGTACCCCATTATTCAAATTAAGCACCCAGCCTTCCCTTCCATTAGCAAGGGGGTAAACTAGGGAAGGGCCACTAGGGGGCACCATAGTGCATAGAGCACAGGGCCTGGAGTCAGAAAAATTCATCTTCCTGAGTTCAAACCTAGCCTCAGACACTTACTAGCTGGGCCATCTTGGGCAAGTCACCTGTTTGCCTCAGTTTCCTCATGTGTAAAATGAGCTGGAGAAGGAAATGGCAAACTGCTCCAGCATCTTTGCCAAGAAAACCCTAAATGGGGACACAAAGTCTGAAATGACTGAACAACAAAACTAGGGAAGGGTTAGTTGATTGATTATGGTTTAATTAACTAAGGTTAATAAAATATTAGCTAATTATGCCATTAATCATGGCAGTAATTCCGTTAGGTGGTTTTGCTTAACTATTTTTGAGACATGTATTTGGGGGTTTGAGAAGTATCTTTTGTGTCAATTCCAGTTAATAAAATCAAGTTTTTAAAAGGCTGATTCTTTTTACTGGCTCTGGGGCCCTTTCTCCAGGCATGCCGTAGATACCTAGCCCCCATTTTTGCTCTAGATACCTCATTTCCCTATATTTAGGATATCAATATTACAAAATAGATTTCCTAAAATTTACTTTGTGAAGGAGAAGTCCTCCACAGACTGCCTTCTCTCCCCTAGTCCCTCGTACTGCATCCTGATTGATTTAACAAAGAAAAGCATGTTTAACACAGGGTGTTAATGACCTTGAGGGGGAAGGCAGAATTCCAGCAGGAGGTCAAGGGAATTCCAATGATCTGAGGTTCTCAGCAAGGCCCACAAGTCTGGCATATTATTGCAATGATCTCTGGTCTCACAGCTATTTGCAACCTTCTCTTTGGGGAGCGTCTGGGAGTCCTAGAAGATTTTGTGGACCCTGAAGCCCAGAAGTTCATCGATGCTGTGTCTACAATGTTCCACACTAGCGTTCCGATGCTGAACATCCCTCCAGAACTTTTCCGTATGGTCAGAGCCAAGACCTGGAGGGATCACGTGGCCTCGTGGGACCTGATTTTTGATCGAGGTGAGCGTTCTGAATATCCTTCTGGGGTAACTGGCGGTGCTGGAGCTAGGGCAGGCTGAGGTCAGACCCCAAGGTAGATGGTGACAGCAGAAGGCAGGCAGAGCATGGAGGAGGGCCTGTAGCAGCTTTCTGCCTCCCAGAGGAGATGGGCAGAGACAGGGGAGAACCCAAGGAAAGAACAAATGTGTCACTTGGTCAATGTCTCAACTCTGCTGCTGTTCCTTTTACCTCAACTATTTCCCCTTGAAGAGGCTCTGGTATTCAATAATCTATCAATTATGAAAGAGATAGTACTCCCTAGGTCTCAACGCGTGTGCTAAAGTGATTGTTTAAGGACCTCTAAGTATTTGACAGAAGGTGGGAGCAAGTGGCATGCGTGGAGGCCCCACTCTGTAGAAGCCTGTATAAAGAGTGGAAAGGGCATATCTAAGATCATCACAGAAAAGTGTGTACGTATGCGTGTGCATGTGTGTATTATACTGTGCACATATATGTGTACATGTGTATTGTAAATATGTGCACAGATGTATACATGTTTATAGGGTGCATCACATGCGTATTGTGTAAGTGCATGCATGCTTACATGTATAGACATGTAGATATGCATTGCATCATGTGCATGTGTATATGTATATGCCTGTATATTATAGCTGTGTGGATGTATAGGTGCATGTTGGTATTGTGCATGTGTGTACATGCGTATGTGTATACACATGTGCACAGTGAATGTGCAAAATGTGTTATATTGCACAATATGAATATGCCTGCAGTGCACACATGCAATACAGTACATGTGTGTGTGCAAGGTTTGTACCTATGTGAACATGTGTGTACACCTGCATGCGTATGTGCATGTATGTGCAAGTGTGTGTACATGTATGTGTTGTGTGAAAAGGATAGTATTTGGTTACACACATATGATTTCTATGCACTTGTTGCAGAAGGCAAGGGCCCCCTGAATTCTAAAATCTCTACCTGGATTTAAGAAGTCAGGTACTGTCAATGAATAATAACCCACTCCTACAGGTGTCAACTTCATTAGAAACACCAAAACTGTGTCTGGCAAGATGATAATGATGCATTTATAGAACTCTTTATCCTTCCTTGAGCTGCCCCAAAGACACTGATGTAAATAAGAAAGGTAGAGAGAGGCCAAGGTCATCAAATGGTCAGTAGCCTTAACACAACCAGAACCCACAGTTTCCTGACTTCTAATGATGAGTTCTTTCCACTCCAGGTTTCCCCCAACTCTATTCCCCCCAAACTTCCTCAACCTTCTTTGTGTCCCTTCCCCAACCCCAGTGTCTTCCATTCAGAGAGACTCCATAATGTCCCCTTTCTTTCTCCCTGTGTCTCAGCTGAAGGTTATGTACGGAACTTCTTCCAGGACCAGAAAATGGGACCAAAAGTCACTGAGTGTTATCCGGGCATTCTCTACTCTCTCTTGCACAAGAATGCCATGAATTTTGAAGATATCAAAGCCAATGTTATAGAAATGATGGCCGCAGGGGTGGACACGGTGAGGATGAGGGGGGAAGGGAATATGCATTTATTCAATGTCTACTGTGCGCTAGGCACTGTGCAAAGCACCTTACAAATATTGTGGATAAAGGTCAAAGTGAGTTAGGTCCATTTTCAAGATGAGCATAGTAGGGTGTTGATCTCAGCAGCTGATACCGCAGTAGACTGAAGACAGCCAAAATTATGCCATGCCACTGACATTTTCTTCATATGCAAGTATTTGAACAAGTTACCTCGCTGAGCCTCATTTTTGATGTTTGGACACAGAGGAACAAGGATCCCAGACCTCCCTGTCTCATTGGATTATTGTATTAAGTGAGACAATGTAAGTAGAACTTGGAAAGTGGTTTACAAACCAGAGATTTTTGTAAAATGTTACCATATGGGGGCACTTGTAAGGTCGAATTCTCCCCACGAGTTCTTGGAACTCCCACATTAGAGGTTCAATCCTTGTGACTCAGTGTTGATTTTCTGAGATTCTCTTTTAGAAATGGAACCCAATTAAGCCTTCCTACCTCTGTATAGCTAAGGTTATCAGCCTTTCCTTCTTGACTGGAGGGTATAATACTGGGTGAGGACACTCACCCATTTGGGAGGTAGAGAGGTCAGAAAGGAGGTGGGCCTCTAGAAACAAATTTGACCAAGCTCACAATTTTATGGAAGAATAGTTGGCCCTTCCCAAGAGAACATCTCTTCAATTGAATGTCAAAATCAGATATTCGAAGGAATGCAAGCGACCTCTTTCTTTTTGCCCTTTTGTGAGAAGTTGGGAGTGGGCAGCTATACTGGTAGAATATGAGTTAAGGCCCTAGAACTCTCATCATTGCTTATGAGAGTAAAAGGTTCCTGTCTCTGTGATTTGCTCTGTTTACACGACCATAGCAGAAGAAAATGATTTCCTCAGACCCAGGGAATCAGGCAGGTCTGAAATTCAAGATGGTGAGGCAGGGGAAATCTCAGGTACCACATTAGGATTTTGGGGGCTGTGGCTTTAGGGAACTCCTTAAATCTCATGTGGCAAATGCAATCTACTGTTCCTGTATGGAGAAACAACCTAAGAGGTGGGTACTTGGAATCACATGGCATAAGAATGTATTCTATTCCAAAGGAGCCTCTGATACAATCATTCGTCTGACTCAGAAAAGAGTCTTCTTAGGACATCCTGACATAAATAGTAGAGCCTGAGACCTCTCAGTGAGAGAGTGGGCATATTGATTCAATTCTTTCTTTCCCTCGGAAGTTGGAATATCCTTTGGCTAGAGTCCTGAACAGGACTTGTAACCAGACAGACACTTTGTGGGGCAAGTTGGAGTTGGTGTCCAAAGGCCATGTCACTGATATATGTCAAAGCTGAATGTCATAAACACTGGTTAATATGAAGATTATCTGACTAATATCAACATCTAAATGAAAAAATGAGGACAGATCAGTGGGTTAATTGTAAATTAATTGTAAATCTGTGAAAGTTTACAAAGGATTGCCAGTTTTGCAGTAGAAATTAAAAAAAAAAACTTGACATGGAAATCCTGATTTACATGAAAGATAAATTAGGTGGTCATATGCTAGTCATTTAAGGATTTTTAATTGTATGAAAACATTTCCTTGAAAGGACCAAAGAGTTCCTTTAAAGGATGCCTTGGCACATTTGAGATATTTTCTTTATAGTAATTTTTCAGGAGCTTTACTACATAAAACAAGATGTGCTTATGTAGGTCTTAGAGATTGTTTGAGGAAAGAGATCTGTGAAAACTTAAACGTTACCAGAACCTTGTTTTTCTTGTTTGTGCAAAGGTGCTGATATCAAGTCCTCCCTTCCTCATAGGATTATTGAGGACTATTAGAACCACCATTGGATGGCTCCATTAAATTTTAACAATGCTTAATAATCCACTTGCTATGAGAATGCTGTAGTGCCAGAGTCAGCGCTCAAAGTGTGTCTCACTAAATGAAGGCCATTGGAGAGCCCCAAAGTCCTCTTTTATTGGCATGGCGATACATGATGTATTTTGCTTAGGCTGACTGTGACATGAAATTGTTGTCCCTTAAGGGTGTGTGTTTAAGGGAACAGCTAGGTGGCACAGTGGATAGAGCACTGACCCTGGAGTCAGAAGGACCTGAGTATAAATCCAGTCTCAGACACTTGACACTTACTAGCTGTGACACCCTGGGCAAATCACTTAACCCCATTGCCTAGTTAAAAAAAAAGATTATGTGTGTGTTGGGGATGAAGGTGTGAAAAATTTCCATATTATTCCATACCATACACATGGTAATCATAGAGAGCTGATTACGGGAGCCTAGAAGGCTTAGTTTTTTGGAGCAACTGGGGTTGAGGGACTCAGTTTTCTTCATCCAACTCTCAACTGTCTACTTCAGACATCAATAACTCTGCAGTGGTGCCTGTATGAAATGGCTCGGAACCTAAAGGTACAAGACATGCTTCGGGCTGAAGTCCTGGCTGCCCAGCGAGATGCCCAGGGGGATATGAAGAAGATGCTCAAATCTGTGCCACTTCTCAAAGCTGCCATCAAAGAAACCCTGAGGCAAGTTTATTCCCATCCTGGGGAATTCCTGCTGCATTTCCTTTTCCCCATCCCTCCCCGCACTTCCAGCGAGAAAGAGGGGGAAGGAAATAAATGACAAAGCAGCAGCAAATGTGGAGGGAGCTGGAAATGGGAAGAAATAGGAAGTGGGAAGGAGGAAACAGGAGGAGGCGGGATAGTCTCTGGGTTGAATTTTGTTCTTGAGTTCATGATCATTTTCAGGACTTGTGTGTGTATTCGGTATCTCTTCTCTTTCAGGTTACATCCCATCGCAGTTACCATACAAAGGTACATTCCATCGGATTTAGTTCTCCAGGATTACATGATTCCTGCCAAAGTAAGCCCTCAGACTAATTTGCAGGCATTCCTACTCAGAAGGAATCCAGAGAGCCCAAACCATTGTCTTTTCGTCTCTAGTCCAGAATGGGCATTGGGAAAATGACAGTCAGGGAAATAGAATGGTGACTTGGTTGGGGGGTGGTCAATTGCCCTTTTCCTGGGAGGAGACGAGATCTTAGAGGGATTTTGGGTTTTTTTCTTGTCAGAGGTGGGCAGAACCCAGCCCCATGTAGCCTGCAGATTTCAGAGTTGTCTCCGTCCTGAGCATCCCTTACTTAAGCCTCCTTCCTGAGCCATTATGCCAGGTGCTTGTCACTTCTGAATGAGCCTATTCACCTATAGTTAACTGCTTACAACTCTTTTTGTCTCCTTCATATCTAAATGCCTGTATTAAATGTTTGCACGACCCCGTCTGTGCTACATGAGGCAATTTAGCTGATGAGGTCCTTGCCCTAGAAATACCAAGGGAGACGCATTCACATAGAAGGGATAGAGACAGGCAATTAGAAATATTCAACCCATATTATATGTAATTCATTCTGAGATTGAATGTGACTTTATTAGGGCTTTTAGCACATAAAATATGTCTATATTTGGTGCTACAGAGCCAGGCTCAGAAAATAGACTTTCATGTACTAAAGGCTGTAGTGTAGATGATGAAGTAGATAGAGAACTGGACTTGAAGTCAGGAAGACCTGAGTTCAAATCCCGTCTTAGACATTTACTGGCTGTGTGATTTTAGGCAAGTCACTTAAACACTCTCAGTTTCAGTTTCCTCATCTGTAAAAGGGGGATAATAATAGCATCTACCTCATAGGGTTATTGTGAGGATCACATGAGATAACATATGTAAAAGGCTTTGTAAACCTAGAAGTATAATTATTATTATCAAGATGATGATGATTATAGAAAATCATTAAGCTAGAAAATCTATTAGCCTTGAGAACAGAGAGCTAAACAGAAATGCAACACATGAATTGCCTAATAGATTTTAAAAAGACTTTAGTTGGCCTTTAATGTTGACACCTACATCATCACATACGCCAGTGTGTAATTCATTCATTTCACATTCAAGCAACATTAGGTACTGCTATGTATAGTGTATTGGACTGTGACCTAGAAGAAGGTAAATAAACCACAGCAAATACAATACATGCATTGTCTGCTCTAATGGATGTTAGTTGGTCTTTAATATTGGCATATACGTCATCACATAGGCCAGTGTGTAATTCATTCATTTCACATTCAACCAGCATTAGGTACTGCTATGTATAATGTATTGGACTGAGACCTAGAGGAAGGTAAATAAACCATCGTTTCTACAGTCAAATATCTTCTATGCAAAGAAATCCATTGTGATTTGGATTGAAGCTCTGGGAGTTAGGTGGGTGTTTAATGAGGAATTTGACATTTTGACTTTCTATTTGGGGGTTAATAAGACTGTCCCTTTGGCCATAGTAAGGAGCAGGGTTCCTCCTGGGATGGAAATATCAGCAATCATTATTTACATTAAAATACTGCTTTATACTTTTCAAAATTCTTTTACAGCCATTGTCTTGTTTGATCCTGGGGTATGGGGATTGGTCTTATCCCCATTTGAGAAGATGAGGAAACTGAGGTCCAGAGGTGTGATGTCATTTGTCCAAGGTTCTATGGCCAGCACCTAATAGATCTCAGTGTCTCCTGCCTCCTTGATTAGGGTTCCTGAGCTAAGCTTCAGAATGCCCCCATGTGATATTTCTGGGATTGTGGGGATACCATAGAACAGGCTGTCCTGGGTGCTCTGCACAGCCCTGATTCTAGTCTACTCTCTCTCTGTCTTCCTCCAGACACTGGTCCAAGTGGCCATCTTTGCCATGGGAAAGGATCCTGATGTCTTCTCTAATCCAGAAAAGTTTGACCCCACCAGATGGCTCCATAAAGACACCCACTTCCGGGCTCTGAGCTTTGGCTTTGGTCTTCGGCAGTGCCTTGGGCGGAGGATTGCCGAGTTGGAGATGACTATCTTTCTGATTCATGTGAGTCTAATACTTTTTTGGAGAGAAGAGAGGGACTCTTATTAAAGATGCCCAAAGTTCCTTTCCACTCTGGGACCCACTCATGATTCCTTCTAATTCCCACAGGGAATAAGCTTTGTGCATTGGACACATAGGTCTAATTTGTGTTCCAATGTTGGTAGATTGGAAGAGGTTCTTATCCACAAAGAAGGCTCCCTCTCTGTACCCAAGAGAGATGACTTTGAGACTGGGTTGGAGACAGGGAGTAGAAAGTAGATGGATGTCAGCATCAGTGACCCAAGTGATCCCTGGGGCATTTGGGCTCCAATTCCCTTGTTCCACCAGCATATCTTTCCTCCTAGGCTGGCTCCACCTGCTTCTCTGGGTCTCAGGTCATAGATAATTGTGGCTAGGAACCTAAGCTGAGACTTGTTGGGGCTGCAGTAGTCTCTGTCTGATAGTGGCATGAAAACCACCTCTGGATATGAAGGTGTTGGTTAGGGGGAAGGTAAGGTTTAGGTATGTCTGGCAGGTGTCTATGTTCTCAGAATCACTGGAGATAGACCTTTGGCCCAGGGAGATGGAGAAGGGAAAGATGGCAGGAAGATGAGAACATTTTCTCCTATACTTGGGCACCAGTATACCTAAATAAATTATCTGCTTCTGAGGCAGAGGCAGCTCCAAGATCATCATTGCAGCGCCCTAATATTTAGAACTTGAAGGAGTTGTAGGGATGGTGTAGTCTGCAGTGTGAAATAGGTTGGGAGGATGACCTGCAACACTCTTGAATGTGGTGAGGACCAGATTAAAATTTAACTGGGGATTATCTAACAAAACAAATAAAAATAAAAGAGAATATAAATAATATTAATATGTGGTTTTCAAAGTCAACATGCAGCCTACAAGGATCCTTAGGTATTATTTAGTGGCTCCCATTTCTATTTGAGTTTGACACCACTGGTTTAGTCCAATTTCCTAATTTTATATCAGAGGAATAACCCCTTCCTGCCCCCATCCCCCCACCTCCATCTTTCCATCTCCATTCCCCCACCCCCCAGGAAACTACTGGCAGGCCTTGCAAGATCTTTGGGTCTCTTGCATCTCTGTTCTCATTGCCCATGAACAAGGCAAGAAGTAGCATTGTAAACTCTTCCAAGCTCATATATATACATATATATGTATGTATGTATGTATGTATGTATGTATGTATGTATGTATGTACATATGGGATCCCCAGCCATCCTTCTTCCACTTTCCATGACCCTCAAGCTGTATCAATTCCCACAGAATGTGTTGTTTTCCCCATGGGGACTCACATTACAGAAACTATTCAGGAGAGACCAAAGAACTGCATAATGGTGGTATTTGAGGCATCAATGGAAGACATAGTTTGAGCCAAGGACCTTCCTCGAGGCTCTCAAATCACTCCCAGGCAATCTCCTTTTTTTTGACTTATTCATGAAGCCATCCCTGCTCTGGAGTCTCCCACCTTTTCCATTTAGCCTAGTTTTTTCTTCTCCGCAGATTCTAGAGAACTTCAGGATTGAAGTCCACAAGATTTCAGATGTGGGAACCACCTTTAATCTCATCCTGATGCCTGACAAGCCCATCTTGTTCACCTTCCGGCCCTTAAAGCCCCAGCTGTAACACAGAGAGACAGACCTCCTGCGTATTTGTTATACAGAGAGGCTGAGGATAACAGGAAGGTAGATACAGGTAGAGACGTAACAAACCCAAGTATATAATGTAATGATTTGACTCCGGGCCAAGAAAATTATTTGCCTCTTTATCCAGGGCTGGAATTTTTAGCCTGGAGTCTGAACTTTAAAAAAAACACACAGACATATATGTATTTGGAGAACTATATTTCAATATAATTAATTTCCTTTTGTAATCCTGTGCATTTTATACAATTAAAATCATAATTCTGATAAGGAGTTCACAGGCTTCATGAAACTGCCAAAGGGGTTCCATGACACAAAAAATTAAGGATTCCTGTGGCCTATGGATTTGTCCACTCCTATGCCATAGTTTGCCCTGGAGAAATGTCCTTCAATCCACTAAAGAAGGTGGGTAGAAGCCATCTTTGTTACTTGCTTAAATTGGGATTTCACTATAAGATTCCCCCCTGCCCCCGCATTTGATTGGAAGGAAAACAATAAATACTTGTACACTTGAATTTCTCAAAATGTCCATTTTTAAAAAACATTAGTAAACTACAAAGGATAGCCACATCATTCCTATTACCCTCAACACAGGTTTCTTTCATGAACATTTAAGAAGTGAAGAAATTTTTGCTAGTCCTATGTTCTGTTGGCTCTAATCTTGACCCGGTCCAAGCAGAAACAGAGTCCTGCCGAGTGTGGGAAAAGATCATTTTTCATATGAATATGAGGCAACACGTGTAATGGAAAGATCTGGTTTTGGAGCCCAAAGATCTGGGTTTGAATCTTGGCTCTGCTATGGGCAAATTTCTTAACCTCTCTTAAGTCACAGTTTCTTTCTAAGAGGATCAATGATGAAGCATGCTGTCCACCTCCCGAAAGAGAGATGAAGATTCAGGATGCAGAATAAGACATAGTTTTGGACATGGCCAATATGGGAATGTTGTTTTGATTGATTATATACATTCATTACAGGGGTTTTGTTTTTCTTTTTCTTAATAGCGGATGAGTGGGTTGGGAAGAAGATAAATGCTTGTTCATTGAAAAAAATTAAATAAAAAAGCCCCAAAGCTTTATAACCTTGGGAATGGGGTCCCTAGTCTCATCTGACTCTGCCCTAGAGTCTTCTTGGAGACTGGGATGTAGATGGATATAGATGAACCTGGATGGTGCCTACGGCCAGATTAGGATGGTAGTCCAGTTGGTTTGGTTTCTTCTATCTTGGGAAATTGCCAGGGCTGAAGAAGGTATGTTTGGGCATTGGGTCTCCCTAGTAGTTCTCAGATCAAACCAGGTGGGCGGTCACCTATCTCGGCTTTGTATAAAGTTGATTCTATCACATTACATAAAGGAATTCTCGGGAAGAGAGTGGGAATCAGCTCGTTCGGGTCCTACTTCTGACTGCCACTAATTCAGGGTGTGACTGTGGGCAAATCACCAGTTCATTCTGAACCTCCCATTTCTTCCTCTGTCAAATGAGGGCTTTTGGATGAGATGACCTCTGTGACCCCTTCCAGCTCCAGTGCCCTAGGATTGCTTGCTCCTTCCCACAGTCACCATCCCTTCTCCCTGTTTCCAAAATGCCATCTTGCTTCTTTGGCAGATGAGCAGTCCTCTTGACATTGAAGTTCCAAGATCCATACCCCATAACTTTAGAATATAGTCTTCCTTCTCTCTCCTACCTCTTTAACCAGTCAACCAGCTCTCTGCCCCGTAGAGATTCTGGGCTGGGGTTCTAGGAGGGAGGCCTAGGGAGAAAGTGACTGTGGGTGGGAGAGGGGGAAAATCTAGGACTGGGGATATTCCAGGGCTGGTCGGGCTTCATCGATAGACCGTAGACACTCACCAAGCTTTATGCATTTAATAAGGTTGCTAGGGATCTGATTCCAGGAGAATAATGCAAAGGGAGTCCTGTTTCTGTGGTCCTGTTGGGGAGGTTTCACTTCGATCTTCGTTGAACTTTACGGGTCAGGTTCTGGATGGAGCGATAACGGATCCTATTTTTGCGGTTTTTTGAAAGTCGTATGGTCCGAAGGACTCCTCTGTACATAAGGCAAAGTAAAGGGGACCTCATACAGATCATGAAGGTTCCAGAAATAGCTCCTTTCTGTCAGCTTCTAACTACCCCCCTGCAAAGACTTATCGCAGCCCACCGAGCCAGGACGGGGCACTGAGGAGCACTTGGGGCAGCGGGAAGGAAACCTATGCCTCCCACGAGGGAGTCTATGTGTTCTTCTGTGCTCTTAGGACTGCCCATCCATCCACCTCTCCCACCTCTGGCATCATCTGTCCACATCTACTGGGACCAGCCATAGGCTTTGTGACCTCCTACTCTGCACTGTGGGGTCAGTGAACATCAGAAACAGCGGCAAAATGGAGAGAACACTGGGCTTGGAGTCAGGACACCTGGGTCTGGAACCTGGCTTGGCTACTTACTTGTTTTGTGACGCTGGGTCAGTCACTTCTGATCTCTGGAGTTCTGGTTCCTCGTCTGTAAAATGAGGAGGTTGGACTGGATGACCTCTATGGTCTTTATTGGTTCAAAATCCTATGAGTCATCGAATCTGGTAGTGGTGAGGGGCAGAGATCTCAGGCTCACCTGGCCCAGGGGCCTGCCTTTGGGGCTAGTAATAGGCCCCTTGAGAGTGTGTCTACATGTGGACACACACACATATATACTATTGGTATCCATTCCTTTATTGTGGCAAAAACATAGAATGATTAATAAATAGTTGGATTGTATCTATCTATACACACACATATACACACATATTTACATATATACATGTATATGTAATATCTATCAATCAAACAAGTCTTTGTTGAGACCCTACCATGTGCCAGGCACTGTACTAGATGCTGGGGATACAGATACAATGGATTAAGCAATCCCTACTTGCAAAGAGGTTATATTCTAATGAGGCTACCTCTCTTTCTTTCTCTCTCTCTGTCTCTTTCCATCTTTCTTTCTACCTATTCTTTCATTTTATTTATTTCCTTTTTCTGTTTTCTTTCTCTGTCTTTCTTGCCCTTTCTTTCTCTTCCTTCCTCTATCTCTTCCTTTTTTCTTCCTTCCTCCCCCTCTTTCTTTCTTTCTTTCTCTCTTTCCTTTCTTTCTTTCTTTCTCTCTTTCTTTCTTTTTCTCTTTTCTTTCTTTCTTTCTTTCTTTCTTTCTTTCTTTCTTTCTTTCTTT